TGCACACAATGTGCAACTTTTTTTTTTTTTTAGCTGCAAATGGGAACATAAGCTAACTGAGAGTGGAGCTCTATTTGCACTGAAAAAAATTCTGCTCATGATTCCAATTAAATATTCAACATGCATCCTTGTTGACAGTGTTTGTTTCAAATGATTTTACCACCAGATGGCCTTTCAGAATACTCTGATGAAGGCCACCTGACTAAAGAATGCAATTCCAGTGTCTAAGAAAGTTTGAAAGTGCCTATATATTGGCAATAGGACCGAACCAGAGGCAGAATTACCACAACTAAAACAAGGTAAATTTGTCATATCATTATTTATCTTTGTTGCAGGCATAGCTAAAGAAGTTTCCCCCTCTCACAAAAAAAAAAACCCAAAACAAAACAAAACAGAGACTGCCACAGAGGTTTTTTTCTTTTTAAATTTGTTAGAAGAGCTGGAACTCTGCTTTTTTTATGTAATTATGTTATGCAGAAACCTGATAGTTGTAGATTGTCACACAACAGAATTTAGTATTAATAGTGTTAAGTACAAATCTTCTATTCGATCTTGCTGCTTTAAGCAAACAGGCTGAGAAAATCCAGCTGGCCAGGATAATTAGAGCCACAGATTATCACGTAATGATCACAATATGAAAACATTCCAAAAGAATGAAAAAGCTATCACTCTAGATTAGTTTGAAGTCATTTTAAGAGAAGCAGAGAACTCAACATAAGAAACTTGGATCAAGAAAGGGGGAGGAATTCTTTATTGAATTGCCTCTGCTTGTGCAGTTTAGTGAGTGTGCTTATTAATAACTACAACAAGGTCGAAATCAAGACTTTTTTTCCCTGATGTTATGATAAGTAAGGGAGAACAAAGTTTGGTAGTCTTCAAACAAAAGGCAGTGTTAAGTGCTAGAAAAATAGTATCGTGAACAAAGTTCTACTCAAGTTTAATTCAGTATGGCAAAAATCTTGAGTATTATTACACAGAGCTGTATGCCACTGCGATTTTATATATATATTTATGTATGTATATACGTATGTATTTAAATGTATTTCCCCTCATGACTAGTTATCTTCCCCCTCTCACCAACTTCAAAAAACAAAAGGATGTGCGGAAGCTGTCCCTGTTTCTTACATTAAAATGCCTGCTATGAGAGAAAAAACACCTCGCCCTTTCCTCATTCACTGTACCACCACAAGTAAGTAGTAGATATAGATAGCCTGAAGCTAAGCAGTTCAAGATGTGACAGCATCAACATAACAGTGGTATCAGGCAAGTCTTGTAGTTTAATACAAGAGCTTTGTCTCCCTTCCATGGCTGCATGAGGAGGGAAAGGCCTGACATCACTGTGCAAGTCTCCTGTATCACAGAAGTTAAACAAATTACCCAAAAGGTATTCAGCAGCTTTCTATTATGCCCTTACTCCCTGCTCCCCAGTTCCCATATTCCTTCATGTTTTTATTACCCGGAGGTCTCTCGAGTGCAATTTGTATCCTTTTTCTTTGGGAGCACCTTTCTTTTGATGAAGAAGGAAGAACCTCCAAATAGAAGCACAGTGTTTCACTGAAACAATCTAGTTTACTCTTGTTCTAATGCAAAGTAGCTTATTACCTGCAAATGCAGGTTACCATCATTTGGGCGGTGCAGACTCAAACACACCAGCTGCTCTCATGGCTTCGAAGTCCTTCATGGGATCATAGTTTTTATAGAACTCTGCATAAGCTCGTTTCCTGGGGTCAGCAACTCCAAACTGGAAATACACACAGAAAATTAAAGCTTGCAAAGCTTTACAAACTGAATTTTTTTCTATTAGTGCTATGATATGTATCAGTAGATATGAGTCTAAAAACCCTTTAGCTCAAATTAGTAAAATATTACTTTGTGCCTGTTCAAATCCACAGCTGAGGCTACCTGACCATTGGTCAGGAAAACAAATGTCTGAAGTGAAACCTTAAAAAGAAAGTCCGTTACAAGATAACACATTAGACTTTAAAGATCCAGAAACACTCCACCTATATTGACACTCAAGTGCCCAATGCCCTCCCTGCTAATACTTTTATACATAAAACATGCCATTATGGCAAGTACTGTGCCAGTGGGCAGCTGCAAAACTGTAACTCCAAAAAAAAGTCACCCTAAAACAATGTATTACATTTGAGCTACACTGTAGGTCAACTACAGAGGTCTGGTAAAATGTTGTAAAACTGCCAAGCCACTCTTACAGCTCACCAACATAAAAAGACACAATCCTGACTCCTTGGATACTCGTTCACCTGAAGCACAGGGATATGCTCAAAAAGCCCCCAAATATGTGAAGGCAAGTCCAAGGTGGGTTTGTCCAACAGTATCTAACATGTAACGAAGTAAATCACTACTGAGATCCATGTTACTTGTTTTAAATGTGGTCTGCTACCTTAAAAGTGTATTAATGTGGGGGTGCGAAATCAGATATAAAAGCACAGACTATTAAAAAAAATGATATTGTAAGTCCGACCACAAACTAGCTTGCCTACCTCTTAACAGACGTGTTAAGTAGATGTTGAGCTTTAACTGTGCAAGCTCATTGTTTCTGACAGACATTTGCTGATCTCTGAGATTAAGTAGACTGTGATACTTCTGTGATGAACAACCTGAAATTAATTTAATTTCTAGTAACTTTTATCAGTAGCTTCCCGAGTACTCAAATGCTGCAAACAGGATATGAGTGAGTTAAATGGGCAAACCAAGATCCAGTTCTTCCATGGTAATTCAAATTGTGTTGCTTGCTTTGCATATGAGATCTGAGAATTATCTAGTAAAGGCACTCAAGAACTACCGCTCTTTGTCAGAAGTCTCCTAAGGATCAAGAAAAACAAACTCCAATCTGTAGGTGGGTTTTGGGGGGAAATGTCATGCGCCGTTTCCACATGATACTTTAAAAGAAAGGATAAAGGGACCATACTAGCCTTCCCCGCACTGATATCTTCAGTGTGAAGGATGGTTTTTCCAAATTGCTTATGAACAAGTTTTCTGAAATCAGTCTAGAGATACAGTAAGACTCTGACAACTCTCTTGAGTCTCGGATACTGTGACAGAGAGGGACACAGACTATCTAGAGTTAATGTATCTCAATTGTGCGAATGATCAAGAGTAGTCTAGGACTAGGAGACTCAAGCTTAAGTTGTCACGAATTGTGTGACCTTGATCACACAGCTTAAAGGCATCACATTATTCATATCATTTCTTCAAATGAAGATTAGGAAGATTTATTTATGTTCTGGAAGCATGCTTACAAAAATACATTACTAAAGCTTTCTGATGAACAGCTCAACTAGCTCTCAACAAAAAAATATTATGAATTCTTAAAACACTCTAATGAGTCCAGTTTATAATTGAATGACTACAGAGCTCACCTTGTATAAAGCCGCACATCCCACAGATACAAAAAATGCCCCAAATAGGTGAAACTTCATCCGTCTGGCCAAAAGGCGCCGCATTTGTGGCTTAGGCAATAGGGCAGATGACATGGTGATTATATTTCCTAATTAAAAAAAAAAAAAAAAAAAATAGAAGAGAATTGTGCGACAAGAAGCTCTACTTAAGTAATTTTCCATAACTCTACTCTAGAAAGATTGTGCTTTTTGTATTGTGCAATAATCATCTTCACAACATATGCAACAGCGTTCCTCTCGATTGACTTTTCAATGAGAATATTTAAGGGACAACATTCAAGGACAATGTATTTCTGACATGAATCTAAGTAAGTTTTTATACTCCTTACACCCAGTACCCATGGAATCAAGACTGGCCTTCGCTGTTCGTACTAAACCCTTCCCTCCCCGCAGGGTCTAGCATTTCAGGCCTGCTGTCCTGGTGCTTACATCAGAAGACATTCAGAACATCAATCACATTTTATTCATTTCTGAGGAAAAGCACACGCCTCTCGAACTAGCTCGTGGTTTGTTTTTTTTTAAAGTAACCGCAAACCCTATTGCATTACGGGATGGTTTGTTTTTTTTTTCTAGCGGGTAACCTTTTACGAAAAACCTGCAAGGCCTGAAGCAGGCGGCTCCTCTAAACACTAAAGGTTCACGCAGCAGGGAGCGGCTCCGAGGCAGGGCTGTCCGCAGGGTGCTGCTGCTGCTGCCGCCGCCCTCTGCGCAGCCCCCTGCGCTCACAGGGCCACGGGGCGGGAGCGAGGGCCGGCCGGTGCCCCAGCTGTCCCCAAAGGCCTTAGTGCTGCCCACAGCCGCGCCCGCCCGCTTCCCGCTCGCGCTTCAGAGGAACCATCGCAGACGGGCCCCCCGCCGTTACCGGAGGCAGGGCCCCCGCAGCGCCGTGGCCAGACTGAGACAAAGCCCCGCACTGGTTCCCCCCCCCTCACAGAAGGCGCTCGGGCCCCTCGCTGCCCTCCAGCAGGGCGTCCGCCGCCGCGGGGCCCCTCCCCGCCACCCTCAGGGACGCGCAGAGGTCACGGGCGGCCGAGGGGAGGGGAGGGGAGAGCGGCGGCTGGCGGCCGTTGGGCTGAGGGGAGGGGGACAGGGGACCCGGCGGCGGGAACGCGAGCGCGGCCTCACCTCAGCGCGGGCCCACCAACGTCCTTCCGCCCCGCCGCCCGGGCACCCTCTGCGGCCCCGCTAACCCCGCATGCGCGGGAGGCGGTGGCCTGGGTACGGCGTGCGGCTGGGCTCAAACCCGGCACGGCGGGGGGGGGGGCGCGGGGGGGAGGGCGCGCGGGGAGGAGGGCGGCCGGCCTCGCCATCGCCGAGCTAGAGCTGAGGGAGGAGGGCGTGCCGCCCACCTGAAGGACGGCCGGGCCCCCCCTGCAGCGCCGAGGGGCTCAGCGAGGGGCCCTTCCCTCGCCTCGGGCCTCCCGGGCGCCGAACACCCTCGGCGGGCGCAGCGACCC